AAACCCTAAACCCTAAACCCTAAACCCTAAACCCTAAACCCTAGGCCAGCCCCAAAGCCCCACACACGCCCCTAGCGCTCCTGCAACGCCCTCAAACGAGTTCGTCTATTAAGGCCAGCGAGTACCGCGTGCCCTGCAAACCCTAAACCCTAAACCCTAAACCCTAAACCCTCGCGCCCAAACCCTAAACCCTAGGCCAGCCCGTCAACCCCGGCACTGCCGCAAAACCCTAAAGCCATTACCTAAAGCCCTAAACCCCAGTCTTCATGAAACATGAGGCACGGAAGCGCTAAACCCTAAACCCTAAACCCTAAATCGTGGTTTACGTAGGTAGTGAGTTCCGCGATGTCCGACAGCTCCACAAAGAAAGTGCTGCTGCCCTGCAGAATAAAATCTTCGGCGCCCAGCCGACAGAAAATCCTGTCCACGGGAGTTAAGACGCACTCCGAGGCTGCGCACAAAACCCTAAACCCTAAACCCTAAACCCTAAACCCTAAACCCTAGGCGCTTGCCTTGGGGGACCCAGGCCCGCGCGGGTCGGTTGCCTGCCGGCACAAGGGGGCCCAGCGGCTTCAAACCCTAAGCTCTCGGCTTCCCCATGTCCCCTAGACCCTAAACCCTAAACCCTAAACCCTAAACCCTAAACCCTAAACCCTACCTGGGACATACGATCCTATCTGCGCCAAAATGACGCACAGGGCCGTCTGTCTCAGCAAAGTGCTCTTGCCCCCCATGTTGGGCCCAGTAATGAGCAGCAAGCGTGTTTTGCTGCTGCTGCTGCTGCTGCTGCTGCTGCTGCTGTCGCTGCTGCTGCTGCTGCAGTAGCTGTCAGGCACATTCAGCAGCACGTCGTTCGGGACAAAGTTTTCCGACAGCTTCTCGGCCATCGGGTGTCTGTACGCCGCAAACCCCAAACCCTAAACCCTAAACCCCAAACCCTAAACCCTAAACCCCAACCAAGCTCGCCAAGGGCCTTCGCTGCCAGCGGGGCCAAGGGCTAGGGTTTAGGGTTTAGGGTTTAGGGTTTGGCCTTGCCTGGCATTCCTCAGCAGCAGCACGGGCTCTTCGTCGTCGGACGGGCGCAGCAGTTTCGGCCTCGTCATTCCCGGCCCTGCAGACCCAAAACCCTAAACCCTAAACCCTAAACCCTAGACCCCAAACCCTAAGTCGCAAAACCCTTCGCTTCAGTACCAGCAGCAGCAGCAGCACACCTCAACCAGATGCACTAACACTTCCGCCGCCTGAGCAGCAGCCGCCCAGCACTAGCAACCCAATAGCAGCAGCAGCAGAAGCAGCAGCAGCAGCAGCAGCGGCAGCAACGGCAGCAGCAGCAGCAGCAGCAGCAGCAGCGGCAGCAGCGGCAGCAGCGGCAGCAGCATCAGCAGCAGCAGCAGCAGCAGCAGCAGCAGCAGCAGCAGCAGCAGCAGCAGCAGCAGCAGCAGCAGCAGCAGCAGACCTGGGTGGGTGAGGGCGAAAGTGGCGAGGCTCTGCAGCACGTCGAGTTCGTTGATGCAGTGTACAGACACCGCAAAGACCTCGTTGTACACCTCAGCAAATTGTTTCATGAGGCGGCAGCGAAAGGGATAAAAGGAGTCGTTTAGTTCCAACTCAAAGTCTAAACACAAAACCCTAAACCCTAAACCCTAAACCCTAAACCCTAAACCCTAAACCCTAAACCCTGCGGGGCACGCGGCGCCCTGGAAACGGGCGGCGTTGCTGCTGCGCGCCGTTTCCGCTGCTCGAACTCTAAAGCTTAAGGCGCCCTTGCAAACCCTAAACCCTAAACCCTAAACCCTAAACCCTAAACCCTAAACCCTAAACCCTAACTCACCCTCAAGCTGGTCAACAAGCTCGCAAATTGCTGGCGTCCGGAAGCTGCACACACCCGCAAGCCCTTCCAGCCAAGCCCGAAACCCTAAACCCTAAACCCTAAACCCTCGCAACTAGCCCCTAAACCCTAAACCCTAAACCCTCGCAACTAGCCCCTAAACCCTAAACCCTAAACCCTCGCCAAAGGAGACGGAACGCAAGGCAGGTCGCTCTAACGGAGTCAGTATCGTAGAAAACTGTAGCGCTTAGGGTTTAGGGTTTAGGGTTTAGGGTTTAGGGTTTAGGGTTTAGGGTTTACCGGATAAACCCTTTTCTTGAGGAGGTAATGTCGGCGTCGAGGCGACGGAGGGTTTCTTTGGAAATGTTCTCCGGGCACTCCACTTCGTACCTGGCCACAAACCCTAAACCCTAAACCCTAAACCCTAAACCCTAAACCCTAAACCCTAAAACTGACAACAGCAGCTGCCTGAACTCTCTGCTGCGGCGGAGCAAGCGGCTGCAGCTGCAACCAGTCCTCGGCTCCAGGAGTCTTCAACACCTTAGGGTTTAGGGCCTAGGGTTTAGGGCCTAGGGTTTAGGGTTTAGGGTTTAGGGTTTACTTGAATTTGGTGTGGCTGTACTTCAAGCTCATGCCTGCTTCCTGCTGCAGCTGCTCGAGGATTTCCTCCAGCTGGCTGCGGCACTTCGCTATAGAAGCAGAAGCAGAATCGTACTCCGGGACCAAACCCTAAACCGCAAACCCTAAACCCTAAACCCTAAACCCTAAACCCTAAACCCTAAGCCCTAAACCGCGGAGCCGGGACCCTTAAATGATGCGGCAAGCCGCTGAAGAGCCAGAGGCGGTGTCAAACTCATGCACCAAACCCTAAACCCCAAACCCTAAACCCCAAACCCTAAACCCTAAACCCTAAACCCTAAAGCCGAAAACATAAACAAAAGTGAAAACAAAGGAAGACAAAAAGAGACGAAAAAGGCTCAGAAATAAAACAAAAAAAGGACAAAAAAGGGACAAAAAAGAAACAAAAAAGAAACAAAAAAGAAACAAAAGAGACAAAAAAGGGAGCAAAAGGAGACACGAAAGAGATAAGGAAAGATTCGAAAAAGGAGACAAAAAAAGATTCAAAAAGGAGACAAAAAGAGACAAAAGGAGATTCAAAAAAGGGACAAAAGGAGATTCAAAAAAGAGACAAAAGGAGGCAAAAAAGATTTGAAAAGGGACAAAGAAAGAGACAAAAAGACTCCAAAAAAGAGACAAAAAAGATTCGAAAAGAGACAAAAAAAGACACAAAAGGAGACAAAAAAGGAGACAAAAAGCGGCAGAGAAAGACACAAAAAAAAACAAAAAAAGAGAAAAAGAGAGACAGAAAAGGAGATAAATAAAGATTCGAAAGGAGACAAAAAAAGATTTGAAAGAGACAAAAAAAAGATTCAAAAAAAGAATCAAAAGGAGACAAAGGAGTTAAAAAAGAGACTCAAAAGGACTCAAAAATAATCCGAAAAACAATTAAAAAAGAGCCAAAAAGGGATGCAAAAAGAGACAAAAAAAGTCAAAAAGAGACAAAAAAAGACACAAAAGGAAACAAAAAAAGATTCAAAAAGACTCAAAAAGAGATAAAAAGATATTTAAAAAAGGGAACCAAAAGGAGACAAAAAAGAATCCGAAAAAGAATCAAAAAAAGAATCGAAAAAGAACCAAAAAAGCCAAAAACAGATCCAAAAGAGACCCAAAAGGAGACAAAAGGAGACAGCAGCAACAGCAGCAGCAGCAGCAGCAGCAGCAGCAGCAGCAGCCGCAGCAGCCGCAGCAACAGCAGCAGCAGCAGCAGCAGCAGCAGCAGCAGCAGACCTTGACTGGGGCAATGTTGCCGTCTGGCTGGAGACACAAAAGGGCCTTGAGTTTGCTGCAGTGCTGCAGCAGCAAAGGAAAGCTGCCGCCTTCTTCGGGGCTCGCGCAGAGCTCCCAGAGCCGCTGCGGCCAGAGTTCCCCCGCTGCTGCTGCTGCTGCTGCTGCTGCTGCTGCTGCTGCTGCTGCAGGCCCCGCCACAGCAGCGGGCACCGCTGCTGCCGCGGGCTCCTCAGCCTCCGCCGCTGCTGCTGCTGCTGCTGCGGGGGCGTCCCGCCGCGCCTCCGCGCCCCCCGCTGCTGCTGCTGCTGCTGCTGCTGCTGCTGCTGCTGCTGCTGCTGCTGCTGCTTGGGGGCTTTGTTTGCGGAGCTGCTGGACGAGGAGACGGGCGATTTGCTGCATTTGTTCGAAAGAGTCGAGGAGACTGCGGAAGGCCTTGAGGGCCTTTTGGTGAACATCGTCGAAGTAAATTGCCTGTCTCCTTTGCTGCTGCTGCTGCGCGAGGCAGCGGGCCGCTTGTCTCTCGACGTCGGGGAGGCGTGCTGCGCTGCAGCGCAGCTGCTGCAGCAGCAGCTGCTGCTGCTGCTGCAGCAGCCACCCCACGGCGTCCAGGCGGCGCTCCAGGGTGTCTGTACACCGCAGCGGCGCCACCAGCCACCGCCGCAGCAGCCGGCGGCCCCCCGCAGTCGCCGTGGTGTCTATACACCCCAGCAGCGAACGTGTGGGGTCTCCTTCTTGGCTCGCCAGCAGCTCGAGCTGCTGCAGCGCTTTTGCTTCCAGAAAAAGGAGACACTTGGAGTCGGAGACAGGCGCGAAGCTGGCCACTGGCAGCAGCTTCTGCTGCAGCAGCAGCTGCTGCATGTACTCGCAGAGGCCCCCCACTGCCCGCAGCAGACACGGGCTTCTCTCGCACTCCCGCACGCAGTACGCGCACCCGCTGCTGCTGCTGCTGCTGCTGCTGCTGCTGCTGCTGCTGCTGCAGCGCGGGCGGACGTAGGTGTCGAGGAGCTGCTGCGCGCGCAGCGCGTCGGGGAACTCCGGCAGCGGAGACAGCTGCGGGAGACACGGGAGTCTCTTCAGCAGCAGCAGCAGCAGCGGCGGCAGCGCAGCAGCAGCAAAGACTATCTCCACGGGCTGCGCCTTTCCCAGCAGTCCCCGCAGCTGTCTCCAGTTGCTGCTGTCGCGGCCTGTCTCCAAGTACACTTTGTTCGTCGACACGTCCACCAGCGCCGCCCCGTAGCTGCAGCAGCCCTCCTGCTGCTGCTGCTGCTGCTGCTGCTGCTGCTGCTGCTGCTGCTGCTGCTGCTGCGGGAGGTCCGCGGGGTCCGTGGAGACAGCAAGAACGAGCATGAGGCGGGCCTCCGGAGGCAGCATTTCTGGGGCCTCTACTGCGCCCGCAGTGAGGATCTGGGTGGGCTTGCGGAGGACAGTCTTGCTGCTGCTGCTGCTGCTGCTGCTGCTGCTGCTGCTGCTGCTGCTGCGGCGGCGCTGCAGCTCCTTGGGAGTCTCCAGCTGCTCCACCACCACGGCCTTGTGGCCCGCGTTCAGCAGCGCCCGCAAGTGGTGCTGCAGCGACTGCTCGGGGAAGCCGCAGTGGGGCTTTTCAGAGCCCCCCATCCACTGCAGTCCGCAGACTTTTGCCCCAATGCATGCATCGACATAAAAGAGTTCATAAAACCTCCCCAACTTAAACAGCAGCACTTTGTCGAAGTGCTGCTGCTTCACCCCCCAGTACTGCTGCAGCGCCGGCGTCCAGTGCTGGCCCCACTTCGCGGGGGGCCCCCACTCCTCAGGGGCCCCCCGGGGCCCCCGGGGCCCACAAAGTAGAGGGCCAGTATAGGGGGTCTGCTGCTGCGCTGCGGCCGCAGCCGTCCCGCAAGCTGCGGGGGTACAGCCAAGGAGGAAAGGCGGAGGGCTTTTGGGCGAAGGCGAGAAAGGCGTCGATGTAGGCCCGGAGGTAATTGCTGCTGGTGCGGTCGGCCAGGCCGTAGAAAAGGGCCCGCAGCGAGGACTCTTCTGCTGCTGCTGCTGCTGCTGCTGCTGCTGCTGCTGCTGCTGCTGTGCTGCTGCTGCTGCGGAGGGGGGGG